GAAAAGCACCAGTTCCCAAAGAACGAGGATGCTAAGAATACTGAGAAGGACCATCTTGAAAGGCTTGGTGTTCAGCAACAGGCTCCAATCTTAGCCCAGAGGATGTCACTCTGATCTGTTTCTCTCACACAGGTAAACTGTATCCTGGCTTCACAACCACCAAGGATGAGTCAACAAAAAGAAAAGGAAGACTCTATGTTGTTTCCACTAGGAGGATCTCCTAAGCCAAAGGAGATCTCCAATCTTGGTCCCTTTGAATCAAAACAAACAGAAAGTGAGACAAGGCAGCATGAGAACAAGGGCTGAGAACAAGATACTGCATATTAAGAGGCTGAGGTAAATTAAAAGGAGCGGTCCATTCCAGGACCTACTCCCTTACCTTACCCACAAGGCTGAAGGAAAGCAGCATTATGCTACTCTACTCCACAGCCTTATAAGCAGTCCCTTAATAGGTCCTTAAAGGGCCAGAAGCCTCCTGCTCCCATCTAACTTCCATACCTCTAATAGAGCATTTCCCAAAATATGGTCTCCTAATAATTTGCAATGAAACTATCTGGGATGATTGTTAAGAATGTAGACTCCTGGACTGGACCAAAACACAGACTCTCTGGGGGTGGTGTCCAAAAATCTGGACCTTAACAAGTTCTCCAAGGAGTTCCTATGAACACTAAAATATGGAAATCACTGAGTGAGTATGGCTGCTGGAGCTCGAAGAAGATGCCTTAACAGTGGTTCTCAGTGTTGACTGTACATTGGAATCACCTGGGGAGCATTAACTATCATGGATGCCATAATTATGTACCCTCCCTAGACAGTTCCCTCCCCAGAGTTTCTGATGTAATGGGTCTGAGGTGTTACCAGAGTATCGGGAGTTTTTAAAGTTTCCAGGTGATTTTATTTTTGTTTTCTGTAACATAATACATGTTTATTTTAATGATACAAACTGTGAAAAACTATACAGAGAGAATGTGAACACTTATTCCAAATAAAATTTCAGAGAGTTGATGTGTGGGTTGTATCGTATGCAGTAATGTACAAGTAACGGATATAAAGAGATGATTCACAGTGGCAAAACCTGAATGGCCAAAATGTATGAAAAAATGTAATAGAAATCGGAAAAATAAAACTGAAAACCACATAAAATATTAGGTCATTAAATATGAAATATTCAATTTTGAAACAAGTGTAGTTTATTATCTCTCAAACAAGAAGCAGTACAATTAATCAGAGTATGCGCCTAAACTATTGACAGAGTGTTGCCATCTTTACAGTAGCTTGTTTATGCCAGGAGTGAAGAAGCCTGGACAGCAAGTGGTAATGAAATCGCCAAAGGCGTTATCCACAGCTTGTTGAGAACTGAATATTTTTCCTGTAAGAATTGGTCCAAGGCCTGGAAGAAGTGGTAAGTAGTTGGCGCAAGGTGTGGTGAATATGGTGAATGACGGAGTTTCCAAGTCCAGCTGCTGTAGTTTGAGCAGCGTTGTTTGCACAACA